AAATGCTAATTATGCTACGAACAGATTTTGGACAAGCGTTTCTGGGATAGAAATAGGTTATTCCCACATAAGCTGTAAAAGAAATCCCATAAATTGGTTTTACTTTAGAAAAAAAATATTAGTAAACATATGATACAAAAAGCAGATGATTGTCATCCAGTGTGTAATTTTTATTGTTTTTCATACCAGTTACTGCATTTTCTAGATTGAGCATTCAAACATAGTAGATGCATCAATATGGCTTTTGCTATCTATTTTGGGGATTATGAAGTAGAAGATGCCTGGTCATCAAATTGTTCTTGAAACATATGCATTTCCAGAATCTCATCCAAAGGTTGATGTTTTTCCCAATACAGCCCATTACACAGTGCACACAGATTGATACTTATCCTCCACCTCTGGATTTATTGGCACATTGCTGTCACCAAACAACAGTAGGCAACTACAGCTGGGATACAGCCTGCCTTCTGATTATGGACTAAGTAGAAAAAAATTCAAGATAAAAATAAAAATTAAAGAGTGAAAGGCAAGAAGAATGGGAAGGGTCACAAAACACTGAAAAAGTGTGCTATTCATTGGGCATAGAGGAAAGGGAGAATTCTGGTATTATACCTGACAGTCAAGTAGTTACACACATTGGCCGCACAGAACACCTGGGAAAAGGTGACAGTCACAGAATTACAGGTCAGGAAACATACACTCATTTAGACAGCCCTTTTGTTAATTTATTGTTAGCAGATCATCTCAGACATTGCTGAGTTACATCCTCTCTTGTTGCTTATAGTTTCTTCCACCAGAACTCAGGTAGAGTTTGACAAGCGTTTTGAGAAACATTCCTGTTTCAGAAGTTTCAAAGTAGTTCAAAATTAGTTTACGTTAGCTCAATTAGTTTAATTTCTCTTCCACTGCAGCTCTTCAGTCATGACTTCAAGCTCAGAACTGACACTGAGTCCCTTATTTACATGACTCCATTAAACCTCACACAGCAGATGACTGTTTTCTTGTCATTGACCAGCAGTGCACAGCCATCCAAACAAACTAGCTTAGATTTAGTATTTCTTTCAGTTTTGATCTTACACTTTTCTTCAGCTGTAATACTGCTGAGTTGTCCATATGGATTACATGATGTTTCCCCTCCTCTGTTACTGTGAATCAGCTACAGAAATAATTTTGCTTATGGCAGAGGAACTGGTGAATCCTTTCACAGTACAGTAAAAAGACACTTCTGGTACAGGCGAATTCTTAATAGCTACCATTGCTCCAAATTTATCTTGCATACATGGGATGTGAGTGGATTCTATATAGTGGATTCTATAGTATATAGATACACTGTCTATTTTAGAACAAATTACCCCTATTTATAACTGATTCCCACAGTGTCGAATGGCCACAGGACAGATACTCCTTGCATACAGAACGGTACTAACAAGTAGCTGTGAGTTCAACAGTCCCTGAGTACATCACATTGCATGGTTAGCAAGATAACTGCCATGTAGATCATCACATTCCCTAGCAACAGGACAAAAGATAAAATGGAAAGACTTCCTGGTGTGCACAACACAGCTTACAGAATTTACTGCCAAAAGTTATCATTAAATTTAAAATACTTTAGCTCAGAAAATTGCAGAAATTGACATGAGTAGCAGGAACACAATATATAAAACTAGTTTTCTTGTTTGAAAAAGAAACATTCATTTTAGATCAGGAAGCTAAAATACAATAGTAAAAAAACCCCAAATTATCCCTGAGAGATCTTTATCATGTGCCACCTGCTCTAAAAGGCTTTTCTGGTTTTGATCATAGGCATTATCCAAGTGAAGTCTCATGAAGAACCTTAACCCGTTTAGGTAAAAGGAAAAGCCCGTTCTAGAAAACTGTAAGTGTAAACATTATTTTATGTACAATTTGACATAGGGGAAGGGTGGGAAATTCAAGCAATGATGATTTTTCCCTTAGAGTTGTATGAAATGTGACAGCTACTTGTTTAAAAGGCTTTGTAGACGGGTGAAGTTCCTACTCTAATCTATGAATTAAAATGGTAAATGTAGACAGCGCTCAGAGGCTATGTCTCCTGGCAGTGCATTACAAAATTTCCACATAATTTAGATGACAGAAGTTCAACATGCTACCTTTCTCCTTGCAAACCATTCTGCTAAATTATTTATTCCTTCCCTGTGAAAACTGTCAGCCTTATCATGTAGATTCTCTACCAAGGTAAAAGAAACTGTTCCAGATGACATGAATTCACTGGATCATACTCCCAAGAAAGCAGAGATTAAAATGAAAGGTATCTGCTAGTTAGAACATTTTGCATTAGAAAACAAGAGATCATCATTACAGAATTTGCATTCTTAAAGGTGAGAGACATACAAAGCAAAGCATGATGCTCCACTTGATTTCCTCCCATTTGGAAATAAGCTAATTAAATGTACTCACAACAGATGATGCCAAATTTGTCAGAAGCTTAGTGTCCTAGCAACAGGTACGGTACAGTATTAGTAACAGATTAATGACATGCACTAATAGATTAATGGCTTGTTATGTACTATCTTAAAAATCTTTATTTTAATAATACATTAACTGCGCATGCAGAACTACAGAGGTTTCACAGTTTGGAAATTCAATACTCCAGTTTTCTATAAAAATTATTTTTTTCAAAAGCAAGCCAAACTGTATAAGAAGAAAAAAGCACAGAGGCCTTCCGGCACCCAAAGATGTGCAGCTGGGCTTGACAACTGCTGTAGGTCTGGTCCAATTGAAATATTCTATTCTATTTACCCACATTCTTTCTCATTTCTGACACTGGTTAACACATAGTTATTTTACACAGGAAAATGCTGAGCGCTTTATTGCAGTGATCACACACATGAAAGGGGCTGGTCTAAAGCTAAGAGCACCAAAAAGAAAAAAGTCAGAAATAAGCAGTAATGTATATCGTGAACTGGATTTGTGTAATAAGCTTCCAGAAGTTCTGGAAAATATTTCAGTTTGTATTTAATGTCTGCTTACAGATATTTAGTATTTACCTTTACCAAACTTGGCCCTTTGCAAACTGTTTTTCTCAGCAATGAGTAAAAAGTTAATACGAATCAATGCTTTGTTTCATAACAACTTCCTCTCTCCTATCAAACACAACAACTAATTCCCAATCCATCTGGAAGAGACCAAATTGCAAAGTAGAACACTGATTTGCATTTGTATTCATTTTATTTTAGAGAGGCCTAGTACAATGCATGAGACCATCAGACACCTAAATATTATCCTCATTTTTAAGATAGCATTCTTGTATGGTGAGGTATTTCACATTTCCAATGCAAATAAGCAGCTTTTAAAATCATTGCTGTAAGTCACATAGGCTACAGACCTGTTGTATTGAGTAGAAAAAAGGATGGGGACAGATTATGCCAATCCTACTAGCACTTTGCATCTCCAATAGTAATGAGTTACTCCCAACTACTCGAAGAGGATAACTATTTCAAATACATTTTTAATGTACAGACTGCTAAAGCAAAAGATTTAGGACTGAAGCTCTGACCATCATTTTACTGGAAAAGAACAGGAAATATCCAGGATTTGGAGGAAAAGACAAACCCTGCTGTAACCTTCATGTAATCAATTTTTTTTCTCATTGTTTTAGAAAGATTTTGTAACTGTTAAGATAAAGGCCATTAAATAAGATTCAGGTGAATAAGCAGAGAGACATTGCTTTCACCCAAGGATGTGACAAACATAGCTAAGGCATCCTAAGAAGTCCCACAATTCCTCATCTTCCCCATGTTCGGTATATGAGGGTGGGTTCCCTTCCAAGCTGTATGAGCCAGCTGACACAGTGGATATTAAAGGAGACATGAGTGACTACCCCTAACCAATCCAGAAGTCTTCCCAGCATAGAGCAAGATATTTGTGTACACACCAGAACACTCAAAGAGGAGCACGTCACAGCTTGTCAACACAGTTATTCCAACAATATTAAACCCACACATCTTTCTCTTCAAAGACAATATGATGCCAAAGTTTTCTTATGAAAGCCAAGCCTTGTTTGCTGGGATCTTACATCAAATTCTGAGCTCAACAATAATTGGACAGTGTTTGCAAACTATTTAAATAATATACTTTAGATGTCATTAGTGTTTGGAATATACACCATTAGCTATAAAAACCCAGCTAAAGCAACTGTTAATGGCAAGTACCACTTATGGAAACAGTCAGTGTATCACCATGCTCTGTGCCGAGATGAGGACTGCTGCCTTCACTACTACATTTTCTTCAAGTTGATCAAAACTGTTCTAAGAGACAAAAAATCTTCCATGATTCTGTTAAGACAATAAAAACTATGTCAAAAAAAGAAAGGCAAGAAACAAGTTTTACTTGCCCTTGTAGATAAGTAGTCCAAATCTAGGTGATGTCTTACTTTTCAAGGAGATAGCCAACATTAAATTGTGAGTAAGAATCTTTGGTTTATGCTGAAGAAATAGAATAGTCAAGTTTGATTCACTACAAATATTTAAGTGAAAATTTAAGGAATTTATGGGTACCATTTCACAGAAATGATCTGATAAAAACACAAGAGGCATTTATAGTATTCAGAAGCTGTTTCAACACCAAAAGGAAGATTTCTGATTCAAATGAAGCTTTACCACATTTCAGTATAGTTTCAACTAATTACGGTGACTTCTCTTACCTGCCCCCATGCACAGTCCTTCCTCCTTAAACCTTGTGAATAATAATAACAATAATAATAATACACTATTGCACTGTGAACCCATTCACAGGCATAAAACTTCATACAGCATAAAATTGTGACAGGTATTGTAACTGTTGCAAACTAAATTTTTTAGCATCCAAAACTAACTTTTGTATAGAACTAGTTCCATTTACGGGAGAAAATCTTACCCAGGAAAGACTGTAAGCTTCACACAAGGGAACAATTCACAGCATTGTAAATACCAACAACTGTAGTTAAAAAATTACCTTCTATTCAAGAAAGCCAGACTTCCTACCTTCACTACAGGGTGTCCTCCAGTAGACGCTTTTACTGCTCCTCGGCTTCCTTCTGTTTCATAGTGAGCTCTGTGATGAGTTTTAGGCTGGACTTCTATTTTCAGTTCACACTGCCCATAATGACTTGGTAAAGGCCAGTCAAGAGGTGGCAAGGAAGATGTGCTGCAATCAAGATGAGCACACTATGATTACAAGAACTGTGCCATCTGGTCACAGTACAAACAAAGCCTTCACTGTAAAACACAATGATATCACTTTCCTAACAAATGATAACCAAAGAAGAATACCTACTAGCTTAAAAATGTTATGTGAAAATTCCAAAATTTTGCTGGTACATTAAAATCTTCAATTAATCCCAATTTATTTTGGGGTTGTTAGAATGGAATTTTTTCCTTCCAATATCTGATTAAAAGAAAGGTACTGTATGACCTCAAGCCTCACACTACCAGTGCTACTCTACAACACCTTTATATTAACTTTTTATCCTCAAGTGTATCAGAAAGCAAGTTTAAATGGTTTAGAGGGAACAGTATAGATTCACTCTTTGCCAGTCATTAAGTTTTGACCCTCTGCATTATTATCTTTCAACTTGTTGTTTTTGTTTTTTCTAAGTTTGGCAAGCACTGCACTTTATTAACTATCATTAAAATGAACACTGTATGATCATCCAAGTTTTAAAAAGCTTGCTGTTTTACCTAAGCATAAAGACTTTCCGCAACAGGCAACAAAGACACCTAAAGTACATGTTCAGCTTATCCACAGATATACCCTTTTATACATTAGCAAAGTCACTCCAGGGAAAAACAAAACGCAGTTAATAGAAGTAATATGGAAGAACTTCAAACTAAAGTTTTCCTACCTACCCTTTTACCTGCATAGATTTATAGACTTAAGATTCTAAAAAAATGAACAGTCAGATGCAAGTCAGTAACTACCTGGTGGAGTAAATTAAATTATGAACATTTAAAAGTGAACATCTACTCTCTAGACTTTCAAGACAAGGTTTCAGACAAGAGAAGCAACTTTGCTGAGTATTCCACCACTATATTTAAACCAAATTTTTTTTCTTAGAGAATAAGTGACACTGACAGCAATCCCAGTTTCCAGCAGTAAAATACTCTCAAGTTGCCATTATATATCCATCACTACAAAGATTCCTGAGCTGTAAATATATCTGTCAAAGCCTGTTTGTTCATCACCACTGAAACAAAGAAACTACTTGATGTCCCATCACTTCTCAATGTTACATATTAAATTCATGACACAGCAGTCTGAAGACACATGCCAAACTATCAAGTAGTTTTTAAACCAATGTAAAAATCTCTAAGAATTCCATGAAGGAAGTAAAAGAAACTGGGTTCAATTTTAAGATTTTTTGACCATTAATGAATACCCCCTGGTTATCTTCCAGACACAAAAGCACCATTTATTCCCATCAAATACTGTGGGGTTAAAAAAAAAAGAAATTAATGACTCATTAAGTTTACTACCCTAAGAAGTGCCTATTTTCTTGAGGCACAAATTAGATTCTCAAGACACACTTCACAGAACTTAAAACTTACTGTTCCACTAGTCATTCATATTAAAATTGTAAGTTTAAAGCAAAAGATAACAAAAAACAAATGTCAAAGCAAAAATAACAGAACTCCCATGATTTTCAATTGCATCATCAGTGACCACTCTTCTAAAAAAAAAGCTCCATGTTACCCACACAAGTGCTGCCCATACCTGTGATGGTCCTTAACTCCAGAACACCATAACCACCATTAGCACCAATAATGTTGCTGATGTCTTGTGAACTGTACTTTTAGTGACAAGTCCTGACCAAAGTTGTTATGTTACTTACACTGTAGAGATTTCTAGGTCACTCCTAGACTCTTGTTATTCCCCTTGTTCAAGTAAGAAAAGCACTGTAAAACAGACTTTCTAATGTTTTTTATTTTCTCCCCCACTTTCTGGAAAACTTACAACTCAAATGTGCAAAACTTACTAACAGTAGATGTGCAAGAAAATAATAAAATCAGCATCTTCACCGAATGTTGGGAAATAAATATATAAATAGCAATTGTATAATTCTTTATGATAAGTAGGATGCTCACTTTTGGTCACTATCTTGCATTTCATTTTTATTCGTAAAACATAAAGGTCAACTTAGCTACTCTGCATTATAAGAATCAAAATTATAAAATATTATATGACAGAACAGAATGTTTAACATACTGAAGATGCACACTGTCACAGCACCCGTGGAACAGGCTACAACTGCTGAGTAATTCAACATTTCACTGAGGATACAGCTGTCAGTGCAACCATTTCCACTAATTCAATGGTCAGATGACATTTTGGCACCAAATGTATACAGCTTAACAGATTTATTTAGTTTACTTGTGTACAGGTGTAGTCTTCCTTGTCTTCTACCTGTTTGCCCATTTTATATTTACAGAAATTCTTCAGTGCCAGCTTCTAAATAAATTCTGACATTTAAAAATATATTTTTATTTTTTAATGACAACATTGAAACTTTTTTATTCAGTTCTACTCAGTTCTCCCTACGACAAGAAGAAACAGGTTTAACTGAGTTATCTATTTTTTTAAACTACTTTGGTCATCCCAGAAAAGAATCATAGATCCACATCCCATCTTTCCACATGCCTATAAGTTCATGACCTTTAGCGCTGCAGTGATGCTCACCTTTTATGAACTGTGTTAGCCTGCAAGCTAACAAAAATGCCAAGTTAGGACTGCTTAGCATCCTACATAATACAATTCCAAAATACATAATTTAGGAAAAACAAACAGTTTTTACTGTTCTAGTCTGAAGAAAAGATTCTGGTAACAGATTAGAACACCTATTATTTACAGACTTAACAGAATTTTAAAACCCCCTAAATTTCAAGACAGTTAACGTATCTGCCAACACAGCAGTTTCGGATCTGCTAAAAGAGATTTTTCCATCCAGCAGCTTTACCATTAAATTTCACATCCATTAACAGTTATGTGGAAGGACACTAAAAGAGTGTAAAAAAAAAAAAAAAAGCCTTCTACCTACTAAAATCAATACAATTCTGAGGAGAGAAATTAAAATCTGTGGTTATACCATCATGCAAAAAAAACCAAAACAGCTGAATAAGCAGTGTTTAAATATATTTAGCTATTAACGAGACAAGCTAGTTGATAACTTCTAAGGAACTTATACAAAATTTTGCAATGATAAGAACACTATATTTTATCATTAACTATCAAGATTTAAGTTTTGCCTTTTTCAAAATAGAGCATACATGTGATGAATCCTAACCTATCCACCCCTCAACCCTCCAAAAAAAAGAGGAATTGCTTCATTTACTACCCTGTTGAAGAGCAACTCTTAAGCATTGCCTGTGGACAGAATTATACTATGTTAACCAAAGTTCTTTTAAAATCAATACAGAATAGAATGGAAGCATTGACATTTAAATCTATAATACGGGGATTTATATGGACAATTGTGCTTTACAGGTATTAATCTAATGGCTTCTCCTTCCCAGTACCTCCCTACCCCTTATTTTTAAAAGCTAGTAGAGCAAGGAAAAGGTTCTCAAATGAAATGGCTACTCTGTCCATTCAGCAGCAATGCTGCTTAAGGAGGTCTTGTTTCTACTCTACCTACTGCACTGGCAAAGTGATTCCAAAAGCTGTGTGATTGGAAAGATCATAGAACTGGTCCATCTAAAAAGTAATGGAATGGGAAGTTTTGATCACCTCAATCAAACCAGGTCCCTCTTCTGAGCCTCCACAGACCATTCTGCTAGCACATGACCAAACTACAAAAAGAAAAGAGCTATTTAACTCTATGGTGGATGATGGAAATACCCTGGAATGACAGCCCAGACATCCATTCTTTCTGGATGATTTTCAGCATGGCATAGATTTTTTTTTTCTTTATTCTATTTCTAGAATTATATGAGCCCAAAGAAGCAAGTAGAAACAAAAGCAAATAAACTCCCCACCTCTTTTGTGGTCTCACAGTTCTATGAAATCAGGTAAGTCAGGTCTCTCTGGCTATATTAAAATGTCAGTTGCTCAGAACAGATGGAACTGCAAAGTGTGCACAAAATCTGCAGACATTTAATTCAGCTGGGCTCTGTGCAAGTACACAAACTAATCCTATGTTACAACACATCTACTGTACTTTTAAAAGCAGAAAAAGATGGGTATTTGGTATCTCAACTATTTTTTTCCTAATTATAACATCTACTTGCCTACAGCAAGTTTTCTTTAAGTAGTCTTAATGCATCACTGAAATACAAGGACAATGCCTACTTAAGATGCATTGGAGGGGAAAAAACAGGAAGGAAAGACTTTTTAATCTCTTACCGAAATATAGGAGTATGACCAGGCTTTGGTTTGTTCCAAGTAAAGTGTGAAGGAACAGAAAGAAATTGGTCTCCAGGCAAGTCTTTTTTCAAGGTGTGCTGAGATCCAGGGCAGTCATCTACTACAGTTTCGAGGGATGATGACAAGTTTCCCTGCTCTTCAGGACAGATATCTACTTTTCCAGATAAAGTGGCAGTCTGATCCTCTGAGGTCTTTCTTGTTTTAAGAGGAATATCAGTCTCTGTACAACACTGAAATGGTGAAAGGCCAGAATTAAGGCCTTGTACATTATGGATGGAAGTGTTAAGCCACGTGTCTTCTGTTATGCTTCCCCTGGGAGAATGGCCAGGTGATGGAGTTGGAGAATGGTGAGGAGAGAGAGAACCAGCATAGCAAATCTCAGCACTGGAGTGTCGTCGTTTCCCACAAGGGGATGTAGGTCTTGATGAGGGCCTTGATGTTGGTCTAGGGCTTAGCCAATTTTCATCTGTAATACTAGTTCTAGGAGAATGACAGGGAGACTGTCTAGGTGACAAGGCATGCCCAAATCCATAAGGTTGCTGCCATGACTCATCACTGGGACCTCTTGGAGAACCGCCAGGTGATGCCAAAGGAGAGCCAAGGGTAAATCGAGCAGCTGCTTCATTTAGCTCTGAGTCTACATCATCATAAACGTGGGAAATGGATTCACAAGAGGAAGCATCTGAAAACCAACTTCTGGATGAAATGCTGCTGGCAGGGCTTGGACTAAGGGATGATTCCCTGTATGATGGCTCAAGAGGAAGATAGAGATGGTCCCGTGAAGGTCTTTCCATATAGTCATTTTCTGTGCCATTTGTATGTAATTCATCTTCACTGGCTTCGATCCCCTGATGACAGTTGGGTGAAATTGATGTAATTTGAATACTGGGGCACTCGAAGGGTTTGGGTCCACCTAGTGGACTGTATTTGGATTCTGGTACCTCACATGTGCCTTCATAGTTCTTATGGCTCTGAAGTCTTGTAGGAGGTGTCAGAGGGGAGGAGTGAGATTGCAGTCCATGGCGAGGAATACAAATAGGCTGATTCACAGAGGATGATGGTTGGTCTACATTAAAGATGTATATGGATGCACAGTCATCTGACTCAAGATCTGAAAACAAAATTAAAACATAAAAAAGAAAAAAAAAAAAGGAAGGAACAGAGTCAGAATGCAATACTTGGAAAAATGCCATAAACAAAATCCTTTGTTTCCCAGATATGGACTGTTATCAACATCATAGATATTTCCCATTATACTAGCTATACAAAATAAAGCTAATTTTACATTTTCCGCAGTCATATTTACAGCTAAATATGACTACAACATTGTTTTCTATCACAAATCCTGTTTTCAACAAGATTCCACAGTTTATACACATCTTTAGTGGTTGAAAATATAATATAAACAGAAAAATGGGTTTACAACTTGACAGGATCTTAGCCTAAACATTCAATTCAGACTTTTTCTTTCACAAGTGTATTCCACTTATAATTTAACATTTTTAATCATAAATTATTTTTTAAATCATGTTTTTGACAAAAATAGGACTATGATACTTTCTGCAAGTCCAGTCAATACTTACAAGCATTGTAACATCACATACATAACAATTATCTACTTAAACAATAGAAAGCATCTTACAGTGACTCAAACTTGAATGAAGATTATGAACCACTAAAAACATTCAATCACAAGAGGTCTAACAAAGAATATTATTAAAGGTATTATGAAGAGTCATATTCCAAAGATCTTTTTTTGTTGCTTCTCTTAAGTGCTCATCCCACAAAATAGCATTTTTCAAGTGCAATCTCATGAAGTTTGAGCACAAGTCATTCAGTAAAATAAAGCAAAACATATTCTCAGATCTAACTTATTCAAAACACAGAAAATACTCCAAAGGAAAACAAGAAATTGAGAGGGAGAGCAAGTCTCATTAACAAAATCAGAAGCTTTGTCTCACAGAACTGAAGCAGATTTTCTTGGCCCACTTCTCAACACTGAATTAACCGTCAATATGAAACATTTGTCTGAAACAAAAGTAGAAAAAACACAACTCTTTTTCTTATTTTCTAACCTTTATGATTCCAGTCTTGTGTCTTTCCACTTGTAAAACAGAGTCTTCACTCTAATTTTCCATAAATCCAGGCTGGATGACATTAATTGCATCTCTGGGTATTAGCTCTTTTTTAAAATGATTTTTATCCTGAGTGTCAGCAGAATATTAATACTTGTTTAAAAAAAAAAAAAAAATCAATCTAGTCTCTCTCACTAGCAGATAAGATGTCCAGACAGGAAGCTATGTATTTTAGGCCTTTCCATGACGAAAAAATTAGTTTGTTAATGAAATAATTCTATTATCAGTTTCACTAACAGGAATCATCTTAAAATTAACTAAAACAGAACCAAAACAAAACTATAGCTCCTCAGAGACAAGGTAGCAATTTCAAATGGAGACAAAGCACATTGTTACCAAGGAACAGAACATGTTCCTCAGAATGTTCATGGGCAGGGAGCAACTCTGTAAGGAATGTATTATAGGAGGCACAAACTGCATTTAAGAGGAGCACAGAGTAATTTCATAAGCAGTGTGTGATTTTATATGTATTACAGTAATGTATGACAATTATCCATATTATATAATTATATAATTAACTACTATTATGTGTTAAGAGAACAAAAAACCAGTATAGATCAATTTCTAAATATGCACACATTAAAAAGATCGGGATTCTCAGGAAGGTCTATTTTATGTATCACACAATTAACACAAGCTTACTACACTGAGCACTATCAAAACTGCATTTCCCTATCCTTTCACTAGGGCAACAGACATTTTCTAAAACTTTAACTGGAGTGTCTTTATTTTTTCTCTTGCTGTTTCCTATCACAAAACATGAAATGCAGACAGTAGTTGGTTACAGGTTTTCCACATCTATTGGTATATTAGTGTGCAAGATCATAGATGTCATTGCTCCTAACTCAGTATTAACATTAAAAGCATAGATCAAGGGAAGAAAAAGGCAATCCTAATAAAAGCTATTATCCAGCTTCTCTAAACTTAGAAATAAAACAGTCACAGCTACAGAATTTTTGAAATAATAATAAAAATGTTTTAGGAAAGCACTTGGAAGTCCTCAAGCCCTATGTGTAAGCATATACTGTCATTAACAGCTTTATGAACAGTAGCAGCACATGGGTTTGCACTAAAACTCTCACCAGTGCAAAGAGCCGTATTTCTCTTGCACCAATAATCTGGAATTCTTAAAATATTTAAGACACTTTCTCCACTTTCAGTGTCACTGAGATTTACAAAAAGCAGATGTACATTCAAAATTTAAGTTTCATGGAGTTGAGGTGGACAGATCTGACTAGCACAGAATTATCAAGGCCAGCTGGGAAGAACTGGGGAAGAGATCGAGCAGGCAAGAGACCACTTCTGACTCAGGCTTCTTTGGTCCCTTTCCTGACAAACAACCTCTAAGGAGTTTGGCACTGTGCTCTCTCATTACACCTCCCCAGCACACACTCAAAAAACCAGGAAGCCAGAAACCTAGTGAACACAAAAGCATGCTTAAGACTGTGGACACAATATAGTTGGAAGTCTAAATCACCCAAATCATTTTCAGACACAATGGATAAACAGGTAGATTTATTTCAGCCTGCACACACAAATACTCCCCCTTATAATTCATGTGTTAAAATAACCTGTTAGCTACTCATACAAAAGGACAACACTAAGACCTTCACAAATCATGTCATTAATTCTACTAAATTATTTACCAATAACTATTTTTGTTGTATTAAAGACTGTAGAGAGAATCCAATCTGGAAGATCCCTCTAACCTATCTTAAGGGACTAGTAAACATACAAACACAAATACAACTCAGGTGAAAGAAATGGGGGGAAAAAAAGAAAGAATGAAAAAACCTCAGGTAATAATCCTTAAGAGGGAAAGGAGCGAGAATAGCTCAAAACAAATCCAACACAGGGCTTCAAGAAGCAGAAGGTAAACAAACAAAGGGAGGTCTCACAGTAGACAAGTGCAAGGCAAAAATGAGTTATGGAGAAGCCCAAGGGAAAAAATGGAGTTACAGAAATCTGGTTACCTAATAGGAGAGCTATTACACATCCAAACAACCCTAGTGGGGAAGGAAAGACAGTAAAGAAGTAAAGTTGGTCAAGTCATAAAGCCTTCACTGTCCATAAAATATAACAAAGCTTTCAAGACATAGAAAGTAGGTCAGATTACTAAGGTAGAGTGTAAAACTCCAACAAACACATGGGGGTAGAGATGCTAGGTAGGACAGACCTGGCAAAATACAAAGACCAAGAGAAGCAGTGCCATTCATATCAAAAGCCCACAACCCTAAAAAGGCAGGTGTGTTAAAAGCTTTTCCTTTGGTAAAGTCAACTGAGTAAATTTCTAATAAAAGTAACAGCAATACAGAGTAAAAAAAACCAAAAAACAAAAAACTAAAAGGTTACAAAATACTGAAGAATTATGGTCCAATAAGTTTAACTTCCGTTATAGAAGTAGTATTAATAGTTTAATTGTTCCAGTAAGCATTTTAAAGGAGACAGAGAAACTAAACGAGTCACTGTTGCTAAGAACAAACCACGTCAAACAAATTTTGGTTTAGGATCAAATGAGATCTTCTGGATCAACGGCACTAAAAGAAACTCAACTTGGTTTTTACTGACTAAGACTTCTAACACTACCATGCATGGAGAAGCCACTGAGTCTTTAGAAGTTTAGGGAAGTCTTCCTTCCCACCCTGCTGAGATCAGGTTCACTACTGACGGATCACAAAAGGCAGCAGATGCTTTATATTCACACAGTGTATAAGCTATATAAAGCTGCAGACTTTCATTGCAATCTTACATCAGGTGTCAGTGTCATCCAATGTCAATGAGAACCAGAAGGTCTCTTCTTTTGAATGTACATTTGCTACTGTTTGGAAACAGACCCATTTACAGGAGCTCCTCTTCAGTATTAAAGCAGCACTGGCTCATCCCTTACTAAGCTGCTAACTACACTTCAACATAAGCTGTCTAACTGGGGAATGTACTTAAATAATATCCAGAACAACTGCTTCTAAAGCACATTTTGCTCGCTACTTGCTGTATCAGAGGACACATTCAGGACTGGTAATGGCTGCCCACCAGTTGTTCACTCCTCAAGGATGTACTGGCACATGCACATGTGCAGCTGTGCAGTCTGCAGATTTCTCCAGAGAAGGAAAGTCAGCTACAATCAAATGTCTGAACAGAAGCCCTGTGCCAAAATTATCCAAACTACTTTATTATTCTAAGTTTGTAAGCCCACAAACAAACAGGTTCAGACAACAAGAGCTGCAATAACGTATTAAGAGAGTGCAACTTGACCTAGGTCTTATAAAAATACTACTGTGAAAACAGGATCAGTAATCACGTCCTTTAAATAGAATGAGGAAAGACACAGGCATTGCCACCAACATCATGTGCATCTCCCTTCCAAACTTTAGAAAGGATAACCATCTCTTCTGTTTTCCAGTTCTGTCATGAGTTACCACTATCTCTTTCTGAACACAATGGTATTATAAAAAATGTTCCAAAAATATCTCTAAATAAGCACATAAAGGATATGCAGCTCCATTTTTTTATTCCATTATTTTGCAGATTTGCAGTAGTTTATATATTTCTTGGGATGAAAGAGGAGTCTTAACCTTCACAAAGAACCCAAAATACACAAGAATCATAGTTTTCCTTTTGTGAATTTAAAAAGACAATTGATCAGAGTTCTTGTTGGTACACTACCACACTGGAGCTCTATAATTGGATATTTAACTCCAGTTTTCCATTACAAGCTTAAGTTCTCCAGACATACTTCCTACAGGCTTAAACACCAATTTAAAAAGAACACAACCCAAAAAATCCACTAAAAAACACAGCAATGTATTAGTTTATAAGAAGTATAACCGACTAGTAAGCCAAATATGGTACTGAAAAAGAACAAATTGTGAAAACAATTAAGGGAGCAAGGTGGAACAGGGGGAAGCACATCCTTCTAGACCAAATTTGGCAACACATAAAACAGTAGTGCAAGTTTAAGCTTTCAGAAAGGGATGAT